GGTTAAATGAGTTGATGATTTGCTTAACTCTATGGTCTCAACCGAGATGTTTTAGTCCGGTTGAATGAGTTGATGATTTACTCAACTTTGTGATTTCTACCGAGATGTTTTATTCCGGTTGAATGAGTTGATGATTTACTCAGATTAAATCGAGATGTTTTATTCCGGTTGAATGAGTTGATGATTTACTCAGCTTAAACCGAGATGTTTTATTCCAATTGAATGAGTTGAAGATTTACTCAACTCTGCGGTTTCAACCGAGAAGGTTTACTCCTGTTGAAAGAGTTGATTTAGGCTAAAGGGGTTGGTGATTTATCCCACTTAAAAGATTTAGCTGAGGTGTTTTGCCCCGGCTAAAGTTGTTGACGTTTGATTTAAAGGTTCTTGCCGAGATAACAAAACATAGTCCAACAAGCAATGCAACAGTTGAAGAAATCAAAACTTTTCATTGATGTAAAACCGAATTACATAAGGTGGGGCAGGCAGCCCGGTCACATTCTTAAAAGCAAAAAACAAAACTAAACTAAGGGAGATAGGTCGGCGAAGTCATTCCCGGTTGTAGTTGCCTCCAGGTCAACCGTGGTTGTGGTTTCTTGGACGTCGGTCTCAACTTGGCCGGCCTACTTTGGGCGGTTATCTCCCTCGGCATTTTCCTCGGCTTCCTTCGCGCCTTCTTCCTCAGCCTCAGCCTGCAATGAGCTAAAGACATCGTTGGTGTATGGCACTATGTATGTCGGCAGGAAGGCAGCTGGGGGAGAGGCAAACATGTCGGTTCTAGATCCTTGGCCGAGCTGTTCGTAAGCAGCCTTCCAGCCGGCCTTGAAGAAAATGTCCTGGGTGGCATGAACTTGCTTGGTGTAGTTTTCCTCGGCCTCCTTGAAACCTTCGTTGTTCGCATCATCTAGTTCATCCTTCCTCGTTTGTTTCAACGCTTCCAGCTCGGCCCGGAGAGCATCCCTATCTTTCTCGGCGGCTCCAAGTTGGCCGAGTAGTTAGGAGTAGTCGGTATTTGCTATTTCCAATGAGGCCTTCGACCGCCGCAGCTCGGTCTGAAGGTGTTCAACTTGACTAGCAGTGTCGGTTGCCTTCTGCCGGAGTTTATGAATCCGCTCCATAACAAGGTGTTGTTTCTGGATGGCCTGCAAGAAGAGAGTTTGATTAGAAAAAGGGAACCGAGCAAACACTTGAAAAAAATTGAATAAAGCATGCAAAATTCTTACCCAGGTCATAGACTTGACCGAGGACTTCACCAGTCGGGTGTCGGGCACGTGGTCAATACCAGTCACGTCGCTCGGCAGAAGGAGGTCCTTGGTTAGGTCGAAGGCAAGGAGGTGCTCTTTATCCCCTTTGACCAAAGCACTTGCTGGGATCTCTTTTCCTCGGTGCTTCAGTTGAGGCTTCTAGGGAGGTGTTGGCTCGGTTGTGACCGTTGGTTGCTCGGTGTTTAGCTTCGCAACGAGCTCGGCTAAAGGATTGGCGGTGCAAGGCCTTTTCCCAGCGCGGCGACTTTTCTTGCTTGTCTGTAAAGCTGCAGGTGACGCCAATGCAACCACGGTCTCGCTTGTTTGACCGGCAACAGTTGCACGGGAAGGGATGCTCGGTAGCACGGTGGATGTGGCGGTGATGAGATTTTTGATGCGGCTTCGTTTGGCCATCTCCTCTGCTTCTGTCAGCCGGATTAGGGGCATGTCCGGTAAAGTTGGATCGGGGGGCGGAGATGGCGCTCGAAGAAAGTCTGTTACTCTACTTCGGTGGGGAGCAGAGTATTTGTAGGTCGGCACATAGCTGAGAAGTTCGTGGCAATCTCGGTTACCGTACTGCAGCACGGTTCTGATGGCTGCTTCGTTGGGATAGTGGTAGTTGGCTTGCAAAGCTTCGATTGGTGCAAAAAGGAGAAGAAGAAAAGACATTAAGTACAGGATATAGAAAGAAAGTAATTTGACCGAGCAGTTAGCACGACTTACATGTTGAACCGAAGTTCTTCCTGATATACCAGCCCGGCATGTCGGTTGTTTCATAATTACCGGACACCTAGAAAAAGTCGTCGTCATGCATGTCTTTGTCTAGGGTGCCGGTCACTATTTTCTCTTTGCCCGGTCTGATTTTTAAATAGTAGTTGAGACCATCACCGGTATGCCCTAGGGAGTACTGGCGAAGTATCTCGGCTAGTCCTAGGCTTAGGCCTAGCTAGTTGTTCAGCTCGGCTATCCCGTTAATTATTCTATAAGTGTTAGTTGAAACTTGGGTTGGTGCTAGCTCGGTGCGCCTCAAGAACTCGCATATTAAAGGGTTGACCGGGAAGCGTAGGCCGCCTTCGATAATGGAAAGCACGGTGAAAGGGCACTAGTCTAGTCTGCCCTAAGGGGTTGTGTCCTCGACACCGAGCTCTAGATGTACGTCGGCGGGGACACCGTATTCTTCCCGGAATGCGGCTAGTGCGATCGGTGTGTCAACCAGGAAGCGGTAGCGCCCCATGTGTAGCCGGCTGGTTTCAGCACGGCTGTGTTGGTTTGGCAAATTTCTCGGTTGAAGGCTGCTCAGCCTTAGAGAGCCTCAGTATTGGTGCGCGATCCCCTTAGACTCTGCAGTAAAAGGAAGTTTAAGTGTAAGCGGGAGCACGGTCGTGCAAAACGAGCTTGACTTTAGCTCAGTCAGATAGAGTGGCAGACCACCTCGGTCACGAAGGTAAATCCAGAAGCTCGGCCGCTCAAGCGGACCAGATGTTAGCCCGGTCAAGTATTCTGCTTACCTCGGTTCCTACAAGAGTTTTTGCAAACACGCAATTTGCTCGGTTTAGGTGTATCTTGGGATCAAAAGAAGACCTGGAGCCCGGTCTGCTCTAGATCTTCGTGTGTTCATCACTGGAGTTGAAGAACAGCAAAGAGAGCAGGGGCAAAGGAGGTTTTTGGGGAGATATATCCTAAAACTTATGGCTTTTGTACCCTAGAATGTGAAATATCAAACGAAAGAGCAATGAAGTGATTCGAAGGACTTACCAGAGTGAGGACGACAGTCGAATCTTCGAGGGCAAAGTCAGTCCAGGGCTAGGAGGGTGTTTGATAGAGAAGAGGGGCACTTCTGCTTTGGTTTGTCTATAATGGAGGAGAGACAGTAAGAAGAAAATGAAAAGGGGATATGGCATGTTTATAGGAGCAAAGAACCGCCAAAATTTTGAATGTGAAGAGACGTCTGGGTTGGCTTCTCGAGGCCAATAAATGATCGACACGTGTTCCAATTGACAGCGGCGTCAGTATTGAAGAGACAGTAAGGCGAGTTGAGGCGACGACCGAGCAAATCAAGAAACCGAGCATATCGATTAGCGCGGTTGACGTCTTGCGAACTAAGAACCACAAGAGAGTCTATCTCGGCCGGATCATGTAATCCCAGTCACCCTTGCGCGGACGGAATTAAGGGGCAATTGAGAGGGAGATTTATAATCTGGCTTTGGGTCGTGGTAGAGGCCGGACAGAAGGCGGTCGAGTATGTTTTATGCCGAGCTAACCTGGCCTGTTCAGAGGCAGTTTTGCTCGGTCGAGGCCCAAGGCCATGCTGGGGCCGAGCTACTTGGGCTTGTCTATGCCCAGAGTCGGTCTTGCTCGGCCGAGGTTCAAGCCCCGTACTTGGGCTGGGCTCACTTTGCTGAGATGGTCTCCTGCTAACCCGGGTTTCATAGGTCGCACGTTTAGCTCGGCGGGAAGGCCTTCTGTTTACCAATTCGACCTGTCTTGACCTCGGCTCTACCGGAATGCTACCGAGCTCGGTTGCTATGGAGCTCGACGAGCGGATTACTCGGACTTGTCACGCAGCCCGGTCGTGTGAGGCCGAGGTGATGCCTCCGGGCTGCCGAGTTCCCGCTAATGTTGTTTGGCAGTTTGGTTAGGTGGTGTTAGCTGGATTTGTGCTGACAGATGGGAGAGCAGCTCCACGTGTCAACAGGCTAGTGGAAGCAGAATTGAGCGCAAAAAGTATATAAGAATGACTGCGCCCCCCATGCTGGGGAGGGAATATCATTTGGTGAGAAACAATCTTTGTGATTTATCTCTCTCTTCCTCTCTCTCTCTCTCTCTGAGTGTGTGTGCTAACTTGACCGTCGGAGGGGTTTTCCAGCCACACACCGCTGGGTAGCTCATCGCCGTTATGCTCGCAGGTCAATCGGATAGACAAGGAGCTTGGACGAAAGGAGTACGGGCTCCGCGAAATATTTGCTCCCCGTACACCCACCTTCTTCACTAATCATAATATTATAAAATACCACGTGTTTATACTCTAAAATTACTGAATAATTACTAAAGAGAAGACCAAGGAGGGTGCAAAGGCATTGTACGAAATTAATGTCCGGCGGTGGAAGGTGATTTTCTCCAAGTATTTTTTGTTTTATTTTTTTATCATGTAGTTGAACTAAAAAGCCACAAATTCAATAATTAGTTGTGACTTGTAGATCAATTCTTGGATGATGGCTAAATAAATAAAATAAAAGTGTTGGAGAGAACAAACACTGCAACAAAAAACAGTTTTGCCTACACAAAGAAATGTGTCTGCAAAAGGTGAAAATCGTCCGCAAAGAGTTTTGTCAACACACAAAATCGTATCGATAAGCCGTTGGCAAAAGTGTGTCGGGAAAGACTTTTACCAACATATATATATATTGTGTCGGCAAAAATAACATCTTTAGCGACAAACATTTAGTTGGTAAAAGCCTTCATTTATTGTCGCTAATCTACCATTGCGTTGGCAAAAATGGCTCAAATAAGATGATTGTCACACTTTTGCTAACCCAAATTTGCATCAGCAAAAATAGTACTTTTGGCGATTCAATATGAGTTGGCTAAAGTAGGCTTTTGGCGACAAATAGACTTTGTCGGCAAAACATTTAATTATTTAAAAAAAAATAGTTTGTTATTTGGGATGACAAAAATTACCATCACAAATAACAAATTACTTTTCAATAAGAAATATTTATTGTTCAATAGTAATAAATTACATCCACACACATCAATGCATTGACATTAAAAAAAAAACTCCAATTATATAAGTAACAACAATAGATTACACGTGTTTTTCCAATTCAAAATTTAAGCCTACACACAATAATACTTACAAGAGAAACTAAGTAATAAAAATAAAATCAAGTCAATCCCAATTAAAACGATGTGCTTATTACAATGGCCTTATAAATAACCTATAGATGTTGCCGCAACTGTTGAATCACCATGACAATTAGCATTTCTAAGCCTAATGAGGCAAGAGATGCTTCCTCTAGTTACTTATTTTCCTTCTTTGAACAACCAAACCATTTCAATATAACATGTTACTTCACGATAATCTGAAACACAAAACATAAAGAAGTTATGAGTTTCAAAAACCAAAACAAGAAGGTGCAAGACATCAGCTGTTAACAAACAAGATGGAACAACATGCATGTGTTTGAACCCATATGAATGAATATTGAGTGGTAGACTGACACTTCAAAATAATCAATAAAATTAACTACTGTGATACCCCTGTCCCGTAATATGCTAATTGGTCCTTAATTTGAGTATGATCATGTGTTTAGCATGATTTTATGTGCCATTATGTGAATGTTTGTGATTTTGAAGTCTTATCTGTTCACCGTAGGGATACCTGTCTGAATAATCTGTTTTGGAAATTAAATTGAGGGCCTTATCGGCCACAGAACCCGAAATTGATTAGGCCATCGTGATTGGCATAATTTTTAGAGCCTACGGTGAAATTTAATTAGAAATTGATTCGGGTTAGATTAAATCGATTAAATTGATGAATAATGCCAAATTACTTTATTATTATTATTATTATATTGTGAGTGGGGATTTATGTATAGGCATGTTACACTTAATTCCCTTCCTTTCACTTCATTTGGGCTGATCAACTCTCTAGAGAGAGGCAAGGCCGGCTGTTAGAGTGAGAGATGAGAGAACTATGCCAATGTAGCCTAAAGCTTGGGAATCTTGGAGATTTAGCTCAAGAATTGACTAGAGCTTAGGAGATCAAAGCTTCTAGGTGAGTAATTCTTGAAGTATATTTTGTTATTTTGTGTGTTCAAGCTAATTTGGTGATCAAGAGTAAGGTTAAAATGAAATTGGGTTGTATTTGTTGAATTGAAGCTTATTATGTGCATGCATGTAGGAAATCACCTTGATATTATATGTTTGAGCACAAATGTGTATAATCCATGTGAAATGTTAAAGGAAACTCATGTCTTGATCACCATTTGTGTTACCTAAGTTGAGAGTGTGGCTAATTCATCACATGCATGTACAATTTGAGAAGATATGAGCTTGGATGCATGAGTTGTTATGTTGGTGTTGAGTTTGACATATTTTGGGACATGCATGTAGATCAATCAAGAAATTGAGCTCTATAATGTTATAATCTTGCATTAGTACCATGTTGATATGATTATATTGAGATTTGGGCCATTGCGAGCAAGTATTGTGGCTTGAAAACCGAATTGGAGCTTGTAGACGTCCCTGAACGCCCCGGGAGGGTGAGTCCCGTTCTGTTCATTTGGGGTCACTACAGTTCAGGACTCTAAAATTGTCACGGTTCTAAATCTGAACCAAAGAGTTTGAATCCGGCAAATTGTTTTGAGAAAACAGATTTTGAAAGAAGTGCCAAACATGGACTGCTTTGCCAGATACAGAGTCAACACCTAAATATTTTATTTTGGGAAAATTTAGGAAACCCTACTCGTTTGCCTAAGGCCACGTGTTCGTCATCACCAAAGTTGCCTCGGCTCGGGAACTTGGGTACGATTAGGGAAGGTCACTTCGTGAGCACCCCCGCTCGCCCGATGGAAGATCGGCCTCTACTACCATGATATCTATTTTTGAAAACATTATGTGTTCTTATTCTGGTTATTAGCCTAGATTACTATGTGATGCGCACAGCATACAAGTATAGACTGGATCGCCTGAATTGGAACAAAACATTTCATGTTTGTTTTTTGAAAGATAGTTTGCTACTCGCAAGTAGGCTTAAAATGCAGATTTTGCCACCCTCAGGTGGGCTTAGAAAACATGATTTTGCCACTATCTAGTGGGCTTAAAACTCATAATTGATGATTTGTTCCAATCCAAACAACCCATCCTTCACCCACAGGCATTCAGGCAGTTATATCACATAAGCATATAGCCTCATGGTAAGCATGCTATTTATAGCAGTCACTCACACGCATGCAAGGATGCTGAAGCATAAAACTTACCGAGTACTTCAAGCCAAAAAAGAAGCTAATTAGAAATCTATGCATGATCCTAATTATACAGAAGTGCCTAATGCAACACATGCAAAAATGCAACTATAGCAGGCTCGGCTATTCTAAACATGGCATATGAAATGCTACAGCTAACATGTATTCAACTTGGAATTGAAAATACAATGCAGTTAGTATGATGCGCCGAGCCCGGTGCATGCAAAACAGATGAATGAATGCAAACATGCTATCATACTGTATGCTGTTGTCATACTGTATGCTAATTTAAACATGCCCTAATCTAACCATCATAAGCAGGTAAATAAAAGGGAAGAAAGACGTGGGGTTGGAAGACATACATCACACGCACGCACACTTATTACAATTACGCCCTCGCGCAGAGGGTCTGAATAAATAGTACAGTCTAAATAATACAATCCAAATATATACAAATTCCTAATTAATTTACAAATTAACTAAGAAGAAAAATAATAAACTGGCATGCAAGCCAGGGATTGCCTTGACTCTTCTGAATGATGTATGTTTGGGCTGCCTTGCGCGGAAATCCACTGCGATGCCCCAATTAGCCTCTGTTTTACAATTATTCTTGGAAAGCGCACCAAGCTCCGAAAGGTTGCTAATTCTTGATTTGCTACAACAGAGAGCAGGAAAGGGGCATAGCAATGTATTTTCACAAATGTATGCATGCCTCGACTTTGGGGAGTGTAGTCCTCGATCCTCGTGCCTCCAATCACGCATCTCGATGCATGATGGCCGAGAGACCGAATTGCACGTTTTAATAAGACATGAATGCAAGTATGAACATATGAAGCCAACAATTCTATCATAGATAATCAAGAACGTCAGGGACCGAGAATCGAGGCACGTTTCGTCACTTGGAGTACGAAACGCCCCTCGTTTCCCAACAAACGAAGCGTTTCCCGTCGTGGCAGAGCCCGCAACCGATCAGCCTTATGGCACGCTTCTCAAAGTGAGCCTCCAGCAAACCGTTCAGGAATAGCATACGGAAAACACGTTCAAATTATGCATGCATTGCATAGCTATAGGCCATTTCATGCGCCAAAATTCATGTTTCGGGACTCGTTCCATGCATCGGGTATCATTTGCCATGATTCGGGGCTGTTTTGCCCCTCATTTTGCTACTGATTTTTGCATGTTTGCATATCATATTCCATGTCTTTGCCATGTCTCATTAGAGTGGCATTCAGTGCCTGAGGTCGGTCCTCGGTTTGCGTGCACGCGTGCACACATTTCGGTTGTCTTGTTTTCATCTGATGGCCTCCTATGTGAGTGTGGCTGAGGCTCTCTCATGTTGGTGTAAGCCCATTATTGCATTGTGTATGCCATTTCATTCCATAGCATTCCGTATGCTAGGCCGTATATTAGAGCATTGTGTATGCCATGTTACCTCGTGCATCGTGTATGCCATTTCATAGCATTGTGCATGCTAGGTGTATATTAGTTGCATTCATGCATGTCATGCATATGCATCGTGCTCGGGGTAGGAGTTAGCCCGAGCACGGGAACGAGGTACGTTTCATACTCCGAGTGATGGAACGTGTTCTCAATTCCCAGTCACCGACACTCCGGATTATCCATGATGGAGTTAGGTTTTAGTTGAGTTTTCATGTGCATTCATTCCATTATGAGTTACACAATTCGACCCCTCGGCCATCATGCATCGAGATGCGTGATGGTGGCATGAGGATCGAGCATGCATACATTTGTGAAATACATTGCTATGCCCCTTTCCTGCTCTCTGTTGAGCAAATCAAGAATTAGCAACCTTTCGGAGCTTGGTGCGCTTTTCAAGAATAATTGTAAAACAGAGGCTAATTGGGCATCGCAGTGGATTTCCGCGCAAGGCAGCCCCAAACATACATCATTCAGAAGAGTCAAGGCAATCCCTGGCTTGCATGCCAGTTTATTATTTTTCTTCTTAGTTAATTTGTAAATTAATTAGGAATTTGTATATATTTGGATTGTATTATTTAGACTGTACATATTTATTCAGACCCTCTGCGCGAGGGCGTATTGTAATAAGTGTGCGTGCGTGTGATGTATGTCTTCCAACCCCACGTCTTTCTTCCCTTTATTTACCTGCTTGATGGTTAGATTAGGGCATGTTTAAATTAGCATACAGTATGACAACATGTTTGCATCATTCATCTGTTTTGCATGCACCCGGCTCGCGCATCATACTAACTGCATTGTATTTTCAATTCCAAATTGAATACATGTTAGCTGTTGCATCTCATATGCCATGTTTAGAATAGCCGAGCCTGCTATAGTTGCATTTTTGCATGTGTTGCATTAGGCACTTCTGTATAATTAGGATCATGCATAGATTTCTAATTAGCTTCTTTTTTGGCTTGAAGTACTCGGTAAGTTTTATGCTTCAGCATCCTTGCATGCGTGTGAGTGACTGCTATAAATAGCATGCTTACCATGAGGCTATATGCTTATGTGATAAACTGCCTGAATGCCTGTGGGTGAAGGATGGGTTGTTTGGATTGGGAACAAATCATCAATTATGAGTTTTAAGCCCACTAGATAGTGGCAAAATCATGTTTTCTAAGCCCACCTGAGGGTGGCAAAATCTGCATTTTAAGCCTACTTGCGAGTAGCAAACTATCTTTCAAAAAACAAACATGAAATGTTTTGTTCCAATTCAGGCGATCCAGTCTATACTTGTATGCTGTGCGCATCACATAGTAATCTAGGCTAATAACCAGAATAAGAACACATAATGTTTCAAAAATAGATATCATGGGTTAGTTAAGAGGCCCGATTCCCCTTCCA